TGTCTAATTGTACTAGAGTGGTGGTTCCGTAACTTCGATACGTTCTATATAATTAAACGAGGTAATGTGATAACTTTGCATACACTAAGTCATTTTCTTTATCTCACTTTGATCCCTATACCAGACTTATATATGTGAAAATGAAGTAGCGCCAGGAACAAGACTGTTAGGAAATAAAGAGGGGGTGACTAAACAAAACGCGATACGAATCCATCTGATAAGAAGGTGTGTAATTTGTATATCTCGTGTCCCAGTTACACCCAGAATGTATAATAAAAGGCTGAGAGTAATATGATTTATAAGGTCTTCTTCATATTTTTTATTTTTCATATCTCCAACTTAATGTACAAAATGTAGCCACCGAACAATCGTGCAGTGGCATCACGTCTCATGTTAAAAAACTTTATTGTGAAATGAAACCATCATTAAATAAGTAATCTTAACGATATATATATACGTTTAAATGAAGATTTGGGAAAGCAGCAGGACCAGAAAAAATACCAGCAGAAGCTTTGAAAATAGACCCAGAGACAACAGTGAACTTGATGACGCCATTACTGAAGAAGGTGTGGAAAGAGGGCAAAATACCCGAGGATTAGAAGAGAGGATACTTATTCAAACTACCAAAGAAAGGAGACTTAAGTCAATGCAAAAACTGGCGTGGAATTATGCTCCTGTCCATCCCAAGCAAAATACTAAGCCATATCATCCTGGAGAGAATCAAACAAGTCCTGGATGAAAAACTTCGACCAGAACAAGCTGGATTCAGGAGAAACAAGTCATGTATTGATCAAATCGCACCACTACGGATCATCATTGAGCAAAGTTTGGAATGGCAGTCACCTCTCTATCTCAACTTCATCGACTTTGAAAAAGCCTTCGACAGCGTCGATCGAGAGGTGATTTGGCAACTACTTCGCTATTACGGGATCCCATCGACAATTATACATCTCACCCAACAGTTATACGACAATGCTGCATTCCAAGTAATTCACAACGGGAAACTTACGGAAGCTTTCGAAGTGAGGACGGGAGTGAGGAAAGGCTGTCTATTATCGCCAATGATCTTCCTGATTGCAGTAGACTGGATAATGCGACAGACAACGGGCAATGAGGAAACAGGCATAAAATGGACTCACACAAAAAGAGACTTGGAGGATCTGGACTTCGCCCTTGGTGATATATGTCTGATTTCCCACAAACTGGAAGATATGCAAGTGAAAACCAACAAGCTGGCAGAAGAAGCATCAAAGATAGGACTTCAGGTGAACATAGATAAAACAGAGGTGATGAAGATTCTTGGCCAACACCAATAGCAACAACAACAGACAATAATCAGCCAGCATAAATGGGAGGAACCTGAAAGAAACAACCTCCTTTACTCTCCTACCTACTGGGAAGCATCGTTTCAACTACAGGCGGAACTGACGAGGATATCAAAGCCAGAATCGGAAAAACAAGACAGGCTTTCATTACTCTTAGGTCTGTGTGGAGGTCAACATCATTCATCATCAAAAATAAGATCCGGATTTTCAACTCCAATGTGAAGTCAGTGCTACTATACGGATCAGAGACTTGGCAAGTCATAAAGAGCATCTCAAACAAACTTCAAACCTTCATTAACAGCTGTCTCCGCTCAATACTCAAGATCATATGGCCAGAAAAGATCAGCAACAGGGATCTCTGGGAGCGAACCAACCAGGAACCGATTGTGCAACAAATAGGCTGGAAGAAATGGAGAGGGATTGGCCATACACTGAGGACACCATCAAGTGACATCACTAGACAAGCCGTGGAGTGGAACCCGAAAGGGAAGCGGCGAGTTGGTCGTCAGTGTGAGGGTGACTTGGAGGAGGTCATGTGAGGAGGAGATGAAAGCATGTGGGCAGACTTGGAGCGGAGTGAAAAAGTTGGTAGAAAACAGAAGGCAATGGAGACGCGCAGCTGAAGCCCTATGATCCTCTAGGAATTAAAGGATATGATAATAAATAATAATAATAATAATAATAATAATAATAATAATAATAATAGACAACTGTAATGAACTAAAACTTACAGGAAATGAAGAGTTAGTGTTTCTATACTATGTAACCTGGAGACCTCCATCACAAAATCAACGCTGGACTCAGATAGACTACATAGCCGTAGGGTATCGTTGGTGAGGGTCAGTAGAAGACTGCCACTCTTATTGGAACACGTGAGTAGACTCTGATCACGCTCTGGTTCGCGCACGTTTATGCTTACGAATAAACGGACATAAGAAATTGACGGCAGCGAAACAGTTATATCCCCAACTAGATCGAAACACTGAGTCCCTACTTAAGGAAGAAATAGTGAAACGAGTGTCTGAGGTCGACAGCAGGACTTCCCCTGAGGTAGCCTGGCACAATATACAGTTAGCTGTAGACACAGCTGTAAAAGCTGTTAATAAGCTAAAACCAAAAGTTAGTAAGGGCCATTGGATCTCTACCGCCTCATCCGCACTAATTGACGCAAGAAGGGTGATTCCGGCTAACTCCGATTATGATGAGGAGCGAAAGCTACTCAAACGAAAACTAACAAGAAGTCTTCGCAACGACCGTGAACAGTGGTGGGCGACAAAAGCCAAAGAGATGGAGAAAGCTTTGAGGATAGGCAACACCAGGCAACTCTTTGGACTCATCAGGGAAACGGGTGGGAGAAGACAAATGATTAGTGAAACAATCTCTGAGAAGAATGGCACCATAATTAGCTCCCAGGATAGACAACTGGAACGCTGGAAAGAACACCATGAGGAGGAGTTTAACTGGTCTACAGCCACACTCAACTTATCGAACATCCAACACCTCCCTGAATGGGATATAGACACACGTCTTCTGACCCTAACTGAGGTTACTGAAGCTGTCACCAATCTGAAACAAGGTAAAGCAGCGAACCTGATGCAATGACTCCAGAGGTATTTAGGTACGGTGGAGACAGTTTACTGTCTGCATTAAGTGAGATACTAGGAAGCGTCTGGGAATCAGAAGTCCCATTGGGTTAGTGTAAGTTACTGACTATCCCCATATACAAGAAAGGAGACAAGTCTTCCTGTGATAATCACAGAGGGATTAGCTTGACTAATATGGTATCTTAAGTCCTAGGCTCAATAATCATGCGTAGACTAAGTGGTGCTAGGAAGGCACAAACACGAGAGAGCCAGGCAGGCTTTAGACCAGGAAGAGGATGTATTGATCATATCTTCACCCTCCGACAGATTCCAGAACAGGCATTTTTACCGGCGTCCAACAATCATTATATTTCTTGACCTAGAGAAGGAATTCGATTCTGTCGACCGAGAGGTACTCTGGAGATGCTTGGCTGTAAAGGGAATGTCGAAAAAATACATCGCACTGATTAAGGCACTCTACTCGTACTCATGCAGTCAGTCAGGTGAGGGCTTACGGCGAGTTGTCACCTGAAGTGATGATGACTAGTGGTGTCCGTCAGGGATGCCCATTATCCCCAGTTATATTCAATTTTATCATAGATGTACTAATGGACTTATTATTATTTATTGTATCCTTTAGTTCCTAGAGGAACATAGGGCTTCAGACTAATGGACTTAACCCTAAGTGACTTCAGCGACTCAGGGATTGACTTGTTACCAGGGAATAACACCGTCGTCTTAGAATATGCAGACGATATAGTCCTTGTAGGCGAGGAAGCCGACAAAATGCAGAGTCTTCTAAACGCCTTGAGCTGCAATCTACGAATGTTTGGCATGCGATTCGCTACCACCAAATGCAACATGATGTTACTGGACTGGACTACACTGCCTCCTAATTTAGAAAAAGGGAATGAAGTGGTAGAGCATGTTGACCGCCTCACTTATTTGGGAAGTACCATCAGCCAGTGCCAACGGGTTGATCTCTGACCAAATCTCAGCTGAGTACGGATACAGAGGGTTAGTCTCGCATATGCCAGTTTACGCCGTCTGTGGTGTAGATGTGATATCCTGTTGGCTATCGACAAAAAGGCGGGTGTACTGCTCATCAGTCCGCTCCATCCTCCTTTATGGCTGTCAGTGAGACCTGGCCACTGAGAGTGGAAGACATTACAACCTATCGCGTTGTGTCATCCACAAAAATTGAGAAAAAAGCATCACTGTGGCTGGCAGCGTGCACTGAAACGTACACAAATTAATCAAATGACTGTTCCTGAACTCGTTAGCACTAATTGTAGATCCCTGTCCAACAAAATGGATTACCTTCAATCCCTAATGTATTCCAATGTTTATCGAAATGCTGGCGTTTTAGCAATACAAGAGACTTGGCTGCACCAGCATTATGATGATAATCTAGTTTCAATAAATGGATATAAAGTTTTTCGCCAAGATAGAAATAGTTCCAAGAAAAAATATGGAGGAGGGGTAGCCACATATATAAACACAAATTGGTCTACATCAAATCACGTTTGCTTCAATTATTCTAATGACAATATAGATTGCATAACCGTCAGGTGTCGCCCAAAACACTTAAGTAAATATTCTTATATATACATAACAAATATTTACATAACACCCAATTGTAGCCTTTCTAATATAGTTATGTTTGCAGATGAGTTTACTGAATTCGCTGCTCCTGCATTCGGAAACTCGTTGTCTATAGTCTGTGGTGATTTTAATTTATGTGATCACAGCTTTCTTACTTCGCTTGGTCATGAGAATCTAGTCAAGTTTAATACACGTCTGGACAAATCACTAGACCTGGTTTTCATAAATGACCGTGATGTATATGAAACCCGAAGGAGAGCTCCTTTGCTAAATTCTGACCACTGCATTATTCGTATTTTACCGAAAGTGTACGGCAAGTTACAACGAAAATTGTTTAGTCATTTAACAAAGAAGATACATGAACGTTCATATTCCCATGACAACATTCTAGCATTAAGAAGCATGTTGCATGATACCAACTGGGAACTGTTTACTGACGATAAGTTGGATGCTACTGTCTCTAATATAACCGATTATCTGAAGTTTTGTTTGGATATTTGCTGTCCTTATGAAACACTGTTTTCGAGATTTGACAGAATCTCTTCTGTGCAACTGAAAAAACTTAGAAGACAAAAAGAGAAGTTGTATAAGAATTGTGATAATACTGGTGTCCGTAAAATAAACACCCTTATAAAAATTGAAATAGAAAGGTTGAACAGACTATATAATGAAAAATTTTTATCATGTAAAAATCCTTCAAACATTTGGAAACTTTTCAATAAACTAACAAGTAAAAAACAAATGTCCGTTGATGCTTATTCTGATGTTAATGCTTTAAACAAATCATTTATCAAGAAACAAATTAATATGGTTGTACCTGATGTACCTAGTCAAGAAAATGGTCATTTTCAGGGTTTTGAAGAAAAGGATGTACTATTATGTTTGAAGTCATTAAATCCAACACACAGCCTTGGTCCAGATGGTGTACCAAGCATTCTTCTCCAAAAGTGTGCAGACATCTTGTGTCATCCTCTTACTCAAATCTTTAACGCATCATTTAAGAGGGAAACGGTACCTGCTGACTGGAAAGAAATCAAGGTTGTACCTGTACAGAAATCATCTTCTGGAGCAGGTATAAAATTTAGACCAGTCGCTATAACATCTCCTTTTTTGAAAACTATGGAGAAACTTCTTTTGAATATTCTTAAACCTTCTTTAAAAGCTTTTAGTGACCCTAAGCAGTTTGCTTATAAGTGTGGAAGAAGTACATTAGATGCAGCCATTGTACTACACCACAATATTGTTTCCTGCCTTGATAAGGGCGCTAAGTTCGTTCGAACAGCTTTCTTAGACTATACTGCAGCTTTCGACTCTGTTCCTAGGACACTTTTATTAGGAAAGATGATTTCAGCACAAACAGAGTCCTGGGCAACTAGATGGCTGTCTTCTTATTTTAAGGATAGGAAACAGCATACTGTTTTGGCTGGAAAGCGCTCCACTTCCCAGCTAACTGAAAGTGGTGTGCCTCAAGGTGCAGTACTTTCTCCATTTCTTTTCTCTTTCTTTCTGCATGACCTTCCGAACTCACCCAAAGTTAACTTCATTAAGTATGCTGATGACCTGACCGTTTCTGTCCCTGTAGTTTCCACATCGGATTGTTCCTATATGAATGGCTTCCTAGCTGAAGTTAAGGATTGGTCTGGCTCAAATGGTCTTAAACTAAATCCAACTAAATGTAACACTGTTGATTTCAGCTTGAGAAGTGAAAAAGACATGCATGGATTGATTCAATCTCATGATTGTTGTAATATTGATGGTACCATGATAGAGAGTAAGTCAAGTGTTTCTTATCTTGGCATTAGTTTCTCGTCAAATCTTTGCTGGTCGTCTCATATTCTTATAGTTTCTAAGAAAGTTTTCCGTCTGACTTATTACATAAAGAAGTTGAGACACTCAGGTATAACTCAATCTCTTATCATACAATTTATTAATTCATGTGTTTTGCCCATCATTCTTTATTGTTCTCCATTATTCTTCCCTGGGCTACTCAAGAAAGATCATATAATACTACGAAGAACATTGAGGGCTGTAAGTAGGGTCAGTGCTATCCCTTTGACTGAACTAAATGACACTGTTGTCAATAGGCATATGAATTCTTGTAAACACTTAGCTAAAGTTATCTTATCTGATAGTGAACATCCTCTTTATTCACAATTGTTTCCTTGTATCTCTTCGGGTAAGACCAGAAGAAATTTTATAAACATTTATGCTCGTACTACAAAATATAAAAATTCGACCGTTCCATATTTGGCACGAGTATTGTGTGAAGAGACAAATATCAGAAAAGAACTTTTACAACTTTTGAATCAGTAACTAAACTATAAAATGTAATGATGCATATTAATGCAAGTGTTATTTGTTATATTATTTATTTATTATTCACTATGACCTAGAAATGGTATGATTTTGTTGGGTTTTTTATTTATATTTATTTTTATTATTTTTTCCTATTAACTATCAATATTTTAACATTTTATATATTTATATAATTATAAACAGAGCTAAACCATTGCAATATGTAAAAGAAACGCTGAAAATTCCATGCTGTAAATTGTTATTGTTGTGGAATAAAGTGATTATTATTATTATTATTATTATTAAAAAAGCTTGGGCAGCTGTTTACAGTTATATGAACTGATGACGTTTCGAGCACAAACTATTGCTCATAATCATATCAACTTGATATGATTATGAGCAATAGTTTGTGCTCGAAACGTCATCAGTTCATATAACTGTAAACACTGTGCGATTTATCAAAATAAAATCTTATCTATAATGGAATTATACTCTACCACAGTGCCCAAATTTTATACTTATATCAATAATACTTGGGCAGCTGTCTTTGATCATAGGTGCCTGCGTTCTATCTCCCGTGTTACGTGGTGGTATAATAAGGTGAGCAATATTGAGGTTAGGCGTCGGTCGAGTTCTAGGTAAACAGGGGAAATCAATCGACGAAGTCGTGAAGTTACAAAGACTGAGATGGTTAGGACATGTGTTACGTATGCCTAGTCATCGCCTCCCTCGACAATGGGCAATGTTAGCGGATATAGGGTCAGGCTGGAAAAAAGCTAGCGGTGGTCAAACTAAAACATGGCTTCACCAATCAATGAAATCTACAACAGTTAGTCTAAGCCACGTAGGAAGGTGTAGACTGCTGTTGGGTTGGAGTCCTCGGGACGGTAAAATCCAATGGTTGGAAACAATTGGTGACATCGCTCAAAATCGTTCTCAGTGTCTGGAGCAGATGCATCCACTCCTTGTGACTTATGATTTCCAATGAAACTACATTGTTCTTCGTTATTACTCTTCCTTTGCCTTACACCTCTGTTTACTGTCTCTATTATGCTTTTCTTTTACTTTCTTCTCTTGCTGTGTGCTACGTGGAGGGAGTGTGGCAAATTGAACTGCCGCACATATGTGCAAAGTCCTATGTCGAAAACAGACAGACTGATACTGTGTATCGACGGACATGGGAAGGAGAAAGACAGAAGCAGAGCTCATAATGCAGGTCTTTATTGTCTGGAATTCTCCTAAATAACAACTACTGACTCACTATTGGATTTGAGTTAGAACAGTTACCTGGAATAGATTATTTGTATCTGTCTGTCTGTCTGTTTTCGACATAGAACTTTGCACAAATGTGCGGAAGTTCAAGTCGCCACATTCCGTGTAGCACGCGAAGCAAGAGAAGAAAGTACAAGAAAAGCATAATAGAAACAGTGAGCAGAGGTGTGAGACAAAGGAGTAATAAAGAAATACAAAACAGTTTCATTGGAGATCATAAGTCACAGGGAGTGGATGCATCTGCGCCACTGAGAACGATTTTGAGCCATGTCACCAATTGTTTCCAACCATAGATTTTTACCGTCCCGAGGACCCCAGCCTGGAAGTCTACACCTTCCTACGTGGCTTAGACCAACTGTTGTGGATTTCATTGACTGATGCCAAGTTTTTGTTTGACCGCCGCTAGCTTTTTTCCAGTCTGACCCTATATCCGCTAACATTGCTCGTCGAGGGAGGCGATGGCTTGGCATACGTAACACATGTCCTAACCATCTCAGTCTTTGTAGCTTCACGACTTCGTCGATTGATTTCCCCTGTTTACCTAGAACTCTACGCCTAACCTCCATGTTGCTCACCTTATTATGCCACTTTACACGGGAAATAGAACGCAGGCACCTATGATCAAAGACAGCTAGTCTTTTCATGTCTTCCACTCTGAGTGGCCAGGTCTCACAACCATACAGGAGGACGGAGCGGACTGATGAGCAGTACACCCGCCCTTTGGTCGATAGTCGAACATCTCGTCTACGCCAGAGTCGGCGTAAACTAACAAATGCGAAACGAGCCCCTTGTATTCGTGCTGAGATTTCGTCAGAGATCAGCCCGTTGGGGCTGATGGTACTTCCCAAATAAGTGAAGCGGTCAACGTGCTCTACCACTTCACTTCCTATTTTTAAACTAGGCGTCGATGTAGTCCAGTCCTGTAACATCATCTTGCATTTGGCGGGAGCGAATCGCATGCCAAACATTCGTAGATTGCGGCTCAAGGTGTTTAGAAGACTCTGCATTTCGTCAGCGTCTTCGCCTAGAAGGACTATATCGTCTGCATATTCCAAGTCAACGAGATTATTCCCCGGTAGCAAGTCAATTCCTGAGTCGCTGAAGTCACCTAGAGTTAAGTCCATTAACACATCTATGATGAAGTTGAATAGAAAAGGAGATAATGGGCATCCTTGACGGACACCACTGGTCGTCATCAGTTCAGATGACAGCTCGCCGTAAGCCCTCACCTGGCTGTATGAGTACGAATAGAGTGCTTTAATCAGTGCAATATATTTTCTCGGAATTCCCTTTACAGCCAAGCATCTCCAGAGAACTTCCCGATCGACAGAGTCGAATGCTGCCTTTAGGTCAAGAAATATAATGACTGTTGGACGCCGGTAGGAATGACTATGTTCTAGAATCTGTCGGAGGGTGAAGATATGATCAATACACCCTCTTCCTGGTCTAAAGTCTGCCTGGCTCTCTCGTGTTTGTGCTTCCCGAGCACCACTCAGTCTACGCATGATTATTGAGCCTAAGACTTTAGATACTATATTAGTCAAGCTAATTCCTCTGTGATTATCACAGGAAGACTTGTCTCCCTTCTTGTATATGGGGATAATCAGTGACTTACACCAACCCGATGGGACTTCTTCTGATTCCCAGACGCTGCCTAGTACCTCAGTTAATGCAGACAGTAAACTGTCTCCACCGTACTTAAATACCTCTGGTGTCATTCCATCAGGTCCCGCTGCTTTGCCTAGTTTCAGATTGGTGACAGCTTTAGTAACCTCAGTTAGTGACGGAGGACCTGTGTCTATATCCCATTCAGGGATATAGACAGGGATATAGTTCGCTCCGTCCTTCTCTATGGCTCTGAAACATGGCCAATACGAGTTGAAGACATGAAAAGGTTGACTGCTTTCGATCATAGATATCTACGATCTCTGTCTCACGTTAGGTGGTTTGATAAGGTAAGTAGTGTTGACGTTAGGCGTAGGGTGTTGGGCAGAGAGGGAAAACCAATCGACGAGGCTATAAAGTTACATAGATTGAGATGGCTAGGTCACGTGGTGCGCATGCCTAACCATCGCCTCCCCCGGCGACGGGCATTACTAGCTGATATAGGCGGTGCAGGTTGGAAAAGAGTAAGTGGTGGCCAAACAAAACATGGCATCAATCCATGAAATCCTTGACAGTTAAACTGAGTCAGGTAGGGCGATGCAGACTTCCCGGTTGGGGCCCTCGGGACTCTAGGAATCAATGGCTGGAGACAATAGGTGACATGACGCAGATGTATTCAGTCTCTGTAATCTTTCATATTCCTTTCTGCCGTTACCCATTCTGTTTCGCTCTTATATGTGTCAAACTCTATTGATTCTCTTCACTCATCTTCTTGTCTACCTTTGTGTGCTATTTGGAACGTGGCAACTCGAACTGGTGCACTTCGGTGCGAAGTTCTATGTTGAATCCAGACAAACAGACAGTGTGTACTGCTCAGTCGTTCGCTCCATACCGTACTAACCGAACACTACTATCCAGAATATTGGCTAAAGGTTGTGAACCAGCTAAGCTAGTTTTATAAATGACCGGTCCAGTATTTTAGGTGTCCTATTAAGTTGTTAGTCGGTGTACCATCTGCCTCAAATACCATTTCGCAAATATCAAAATGCTGGCGGTTGAACAAGAACTCATCTTTCAAACAAAAAATGAAGCTATACGTTGGTGAAAAACTCACCTAATCTAAACACTCACTCAAACTGGTGCACTCACTAAACATCTACCTGATCAAAACTCCGGTAAACCTCTTTGTTGATGCACAGTATATTTCAGGGATCTGTGTAAAACATACCAAGATAATTCTTTTGAATACAACCATCTAAAGGCCCGAGCAGTATTTCACGTGAGCATCATCGTCCAACTCATCTGCTGTCGGTGTCGTATAAAGTGCTAAAGACAAAAGTGCAGGTGGTTTGAATGAGCTGCCACATCTCCCGACTTTTGCCGGTTGTTTTTACTTTGGCATAACCTTGCAGCCTAAACAACTCTAAATACAAATTAAGTCCGGTAATTTGACTTCAGGAACCAAAGCATCTAGTCTGGATGATGCCAATGCAGCGCCAAGCACTAGAGCTGATTCTAAATTCAACTAGATTACCAATGACATCTGTTCACATATATGTAGGCAGTTGCCAGGTTGACCCGACCTCTGTCAATGTATTGGGACGCTTTGGGTTGATATCATGAGTTTATGAAGCATAGCTATTTAAGACGTCATTGTGTATACCCTAAATAAGACGCGGACTTTCTAGAGTTCGTTTACTTTTGTACTACCAGAAGAATTACGAGTTAATGAATGGCATGATAAACACAATATGAGAACTGTAAGGCAGAATAAACATTGTGACTTTCTGAAACTAATCATGAAAAAGTGTGTGGGTCAATGTTTTAATCTCTAAATACGAGGCAGAAAGTGTCTGCATGCATCCATACATTGCTCAAACATCCAGATTAATAGACATTTACACAGATTTATTTGCCTAGGGTACGTGGTTAAAATAACTTTAGAAAAGGTATTACAAAAACGTCTAGTTGCGGTTGTAATTATATTACGTATCACAATGAATGGCTTTGTAATACTTGATCAAGCAGATAGACTCGCTAGGGTCTGTTGCTGAACAATATTTGAAATTCTGAATTTTTGATTATGAAATAAACAATATTCTTCTTGAAGAAATAGACACAGATGACACACAGTGTATCTTAACTGCATATTTTGTAGAACATTCTAATTACTGAAATTAATTCTGACGAGTAATGAAGGTGGGCATGGCTTCACAATCGGCTGTACAATACACTAAATCTATAAGTGTGAAAACCCCAAATCAATACGTTACAGCTAAACGCATTTTATTCTGCACCAAGTACGTACATGAGGATGTAAGGTAATAATCCATGGTAACAGCGACCCGGGATATGCCGCGTGTTCAGTCCAGACGTTCTCGTATTAACGAAAACATTCCCCTACAAGGGAGTCAACATTAGTGGCAGCCTAAGAACCATTTCCTAGTCTTAGGAGGGTGTGTTCAGAAAAGACAAAAAAGTGTTTTACGATCTACCACGACTCTTATCCCTAGTATAAAAAGCAATCAGAAAGAAAAGAAACATTAATCAAAAACGTTGAAATCTGATCAACAAATGATGGACGTACCTGCAGTCTTTCATATAGGGACCTAGCATCGTATGGAGCTTCGACTATACCTTCATCCTCCTGAATCTTTTTTCGGGCCTCGACGTCAACTTCAGATATAAACTTCGGCATGTTGTGTGGAGAATACGACTAAAACTCGCGCTGGTGTATGCTCGATAGACTGACTGTGATCCAATATTCAATATCGTTTTTACGAGCTAGTATAAACCAATTTGATTTCTTTGTGCTCGCTTCTTGATTTTAAGGTATAGGTTCCTGATCTTCGGTAAACTTCTGCGTGGTTTGTCCCGCCACTCGACTGTCGTAGCTTTGGTTGACTCCAAAGGGAGTAGTGCTGGGATTAATTATATGTGGTTTGTAGTATGAGGTATGTTAAGACTGTTACTACTGTGATTGGAGTTGATCCTTTCGCCAGTTAGTCCTTCGGTATCGTCGACAAGAGAAAAGAGATAGTAATAATAATAATAGTAATAATAATAATAATAGGTATAATTAGTGAAGTTTTTCAGACCAAGAGACAGAAACGAAATACGAAACGTAACAACAGTCAGCTCATTAAGTTTGAAGAATAATATATATCGGTAATAGTAATAATAATAATAGCAATTATAATATTATTAAGTTGTCAGAAGAGTGAGACGAGAGAGAATGTAAACAAGTAAAACGACGAGTTTAATTGTTTACCCATAATTGGTATATCCGATTTTTAAGGAGATAGGCAATTTGGATGTAGCCATTGTATCGCTGCATGGTTGTCCAGCCTTCGCTTAAAGGCGTCCAAAGACGGTGCCATAGCTACATCTGCCGGTAAGGAATTCCAGGGACGGTAAACCCGCAGTAAGTAGAAGTGGGAGCGCACCCGGGTCCTTGCCCTCTGGTGAGCTATCCTTCTGGGATTTCCACGTGGGAGCCTATACCTACTCAATGGCAGAACACCTTTGTTTGGGTGATTCTGGTCATTTGTTATTTTGTAGGCAGTAATCAAATCCCCCTAAGCCGACGGTAACTAAGTGTGAACAGGCCTAATTTCTTCAGCCTTTCATCATATGGTTTGTTTCGGAGACCAACCACTCCTTTTTTGCCCGTCGTTGGACTCTTTCCAAGAGGTTGGCGTCTCTTCTCAGCATTGGGGGTGCAATAATATTATGCACCTCAATTGGATAGTATTTTAGGAGGCATTATTCACCTTTGTTTGACAATATCGTGGACTAGTCAAGTATTTTATCATTTTTGTACTGTTATGTGTTTTGTAGCTGCTGCTACTGCTGATGACCATGAACTCATCTGTCCTATGCTATGACTATGCTAGTATCAGTTCGTTTGAAAGGACGAATGTCAATGGTCAGTTTGGTGAGGATAAGCCAACTGTGTACGAGAGGGTAATTGTTAAACTGACTTGCACGAATAAAGGCATTTCACGTTTCAAATTACTATCTGAATGTTATCATCTTTGGTGTAATTTACTCTGTGCCTACGCTTCGTTGGTCAGATACGCCGTGTGTTTGTTGGTCATCTATATTCTACGATACAATGATATGGGTGTGTCACTGTTCAGAGTTGAGGATACAGATGATAGAGGGAAGTCAGCAATTGAACTCTGCGACGATTTTCCAGCCTAGGGCGTCAACTTGAGTAGGGTTGTAGGCGTACTGATGTAAGTCCTACAATTCTTCAAAGGGCAGTGCATCGGTGAGCAGTCCATCGTACTTGGTGTGTTATTATGTACATGTATTCATGTTGTATATACTGAATTGGTATCATCTCTCATCTATGTGTTCGTAATTTTGTTTGTGTACGGACGTCTTGCACTTGTGTCATCAATCCGAGAAGGAATGTAGGCGTACCTCTGTAAGTGCTGCAGTTCTTCAAGGGTAGTTCGTCAAGGCAGAATCTGCAACATGTGATGCATTGATTGTACATATGCTTGTGTTAGATAATCAAGTGGGTTTCAATTAATGTAATTGTTGGTTAATCTTGTTTGTGTCCGGACATGCTTCAACCTACAATTCTTCAAATTAAAATAGTCAGCCTGGGAAGGAATGCAGGCGTACTGGTGTAAGTCCTGTGATTCTTCAAAGGAATTACATCGAGACATTATCTGTGAGGTTATTTGTACTGTTTCTATATACGTGTGGTGTGTCATATCAATTGGTGTTTCTGAATTCACTGTGTTAACTTGTTGTTTTCGTACTTTGTTGTTATTGTCTAATTTTGTTAATTTCATTGTGCTTACTTCTGAAGTTGTTTCTAGTCTTCCATATCCGTGAATGAATTGATTAATGTTAAAGACAGCAGATGGGTCATATACGCCGGAGAGGCTATTTCTGGGAATGACTTGCATACGGAGATAAGGATGAGCTGTGGAATCAATGATTGAGAATGAATGTTTCTATTTAGGCTGTGGTCCCACACGCCGGGGATCGAGAGTGTAGAAGACTTTCATACGTCACCGTTACCAGAACTGAGGCAGAATGAGTGACAAGCGATTGCAGTGGTAATTGGTAGTGGGTAGATAAGAGGATGTGCGGAGAGTATCGTGAGGTGCTCCTATGGTCACGTTGCATTCTGCAAGAGTCATTCTAGCAAGTGGCGATTGTGTTGCAAGATGTCAAGAGGAGGTCTCTATCTGGAGGCGCAGGTCGTCATCGTTGTGTGAGATTGTGCTGTGGGTATGCTTGTGGTGTGTTGGCTTTTCTGTTTGTTTTCCATTTCAGCTCTATCCGTGTGACGCAGTTTCCCGCAATGGCATCCAAGTCAAGTGTATCGGTCGTGATGGAAAAAATGGATGCATCCATATATTGCCGGGGAGTGTCAATGCAGTTGAAGATTGAACGATCAATTCACGGTTGTTTGCTCAAAACCAACTCCCCCAATATTCGCGGAGGCATCAATACACCAGTCATCGTCTCATCGGTCGCTGTTCAGAAAGAAGTCAGGAGACAACCGTCAGAAGTAATATTGCGATTTATTATTGTAATATTTGTTCATAGACCTTAGTTGTAAAGCTTAGTTGTACAATGGCTATATATTGGTGTCAGAATAAATAATTCTCGAGTCGCCAAACTGGGTTATGGTTTTTGCGTCCGTTCGTACCAAGCGTTTGTGAGAAGCTTCGAGGAACAGCTTGAGTCCCAGCGTAGCAAGAGCTGGGCGTTAACGGTTTACGAGACGTGGCTGACAGGATTGTATTTGCCTAATATGCCTGACTTCGCTATGCTGATTGCAGTGAATGCTTCCCTCATTTTCCGAGTGTGAACTTGAATTGGAGTTTATCTGCAGCTGTTTTTAGTGCTCTCAGCTTGGGCCTAATGGTTTTTGCATTTCATATTGATCTGAGCCTACGTCCACTCCCTTCGCGAATTTGTGCTCTGAAGCCCGAGACTCCACTATCTTCAGATTAGGATTAAATCTCTGTGATTTTCGGTTTGTCCGTCAAACGAAACCCACATGGCCTTGTGTGTCCTTCTTGTAAATGTCCAGGTTTAAATACACTGTACTTCTCACTGTCCTTAGAAGACTTTCAGGAACTATGCATACTAATAATAACAAGCAGCATATAAGCCTAAAAAAGAACTATGAATGTATTGCAGCAGGTCCCACAAAGGAGACGGAAGACGTAGGTGGAAGTGCGCTTCGTCGAACTAAGAGTAGTAGACGAATTGAGGACGACAGACTATACAAGGTGAGAACTAATAGCGAAAATAGCTCTGTCCACACAAAATCACACTCCAGTAGATATGCAAGGGACGCTGAGCTGATCAACACAGCAGAGGAATACCCACGATTTCCGCAATAGCCGAGGTTGTAATATGCCTGCAGGCACATATAACCTGAGGACGGAGCCCATAATCAATAATGAAAACACATGGGCTACTAGACGGGACACCACGAGGTACCATACCGACGGAAATGTATACTCGAACCCTCGGCCCCATCGGCATAACGGGTATACACTGACCCCTGGTCCTACTAGGCACACTCACGAGATGAGTCAGCAAATGTACAACTACGTAAAACCTAGCACGCACTATCCTCAAAACAACCTAAAAACAGGGTACTATGGCACTGTAAATTACAATGTGAACAGTGAAAGAGACTATTTTATGCAGAGAAATGATCCTAGATACCCACGCAATGAGGCCAGAAGCCATTATATGCAACGGGATTATTTTCGGTTGTGGCAAACAATAGCCCCTCTCGCAGCACAATTTGTTCACGGAATAGTAGACACGCTGACAATGTCTCATATGAGGATCCCTCCGAACGTAACATGGGCAACCAGGAGTTAGGGATAGTAACAAGAAAACCTACTAACTATCCCAACAACCCTGGTTTCCTGAAATTATGCTTTTAAATTCTCGATCTCTCCTTAACAAAATAACTTCCCTTCGCAGCTTGGTATACACGGAGCGGCCAACACTGATTCTGGTAACTGAAACTTGGCTTACTAATGATATACCTGACACAAAGCTGATAATTGATAACTATAACATCCACAGGAGTGACAGAGTGGACAAGAGAGGAAGGTGGCTGTCTAATATGTGCTTCTAAATCCACTGACTCTAATAATTTTACAAACCTAACTACCGACAAACTCCCAGAATGCAAGGGGATAAGCATCCACGCGAATGAAAATAAAATTCTTGTGGGATGTATATACAGAGCCCCCAACAGCCCTATAACGACTGATACGGTTATCGGAGAAATACTAGAGATTGTACCTAGGCTAGAATTCGACTACAAACTAGTTTGTGGCGATTTCAACCTCCCTGGAGTGAACTGGGATACCTGCACTGGACCGAGAACCTACGAGGTGATCCTGGAAGCCATAGATGTAGGAGGATGGAAGCAGTGCGTGCGCCTCCCAACACGACACAACAATATCCTCGACTTAATCCTCTGCCACAAAATAGAGCCGATCTCGATAGAGGTGGAGGATGAACTCGACAACAGTGACCACAACATACTGTACTGCACCCTACCCTTACAACTAACAACTAAACACACACCTAAGAGTTCCCCGGTTTACTATCAATATAGGGACTATCGAAATGCCGACTGGGAATTCCTACCAACGCTCTTGAGAAGCTCAGACTGGGGTGAATACTTCACCAATAATAACTTAGAAGTAATACTAAATACCTTCTACAAGACAATCAGTTTAATAAGAGACAC